GTTCTGGAAAATACTAGCGTTTCGTGTTCGTTTTGACTTCGTGTGGACGGGGCCTAATACTTTTATACTTTAGGTAGTTTTTAGAACACATATTTTTTCACTTTTACTTGAGTAAAGAGGTCAAGTTGATACTTCAACTTTTACCAGAGTGTGTTTAAACTGCAGTATCTATACTTCTATTTAAAGGGGAACACCATTTTTTTTCCATTGGTCCTTGGTTTTACGTTATTCCATCATGTTCTACTCACCCATATGAGTTTAGTGTCATTTGGAGCCGTTCTGAAGATATTCCGTTAGGTTATATCCAAGTAACGTCTTCCTATGGGCAACGACTTGAAGGCACAAACTAAACTGTTCATCATTTATTCTTTATGGTACGACAGCATTCATAACATGGAGGCCAATCACTGTCCCCCAGACAACCGCGGTTATATTTTTTATAGTTATATCTTTTAAAACAAAGCGGAGTGTGTATTCTGTGTGTATTCTGCGGCGCCCAGGGAGCAGTATGGAGGTTTTGCTCAGGAACACAGAGTGCAGGCTGTGGGGATCAAACCAGATACTTGCAACCTTCGCAAATGTTAAAGGTAATTTTCGATTAATCGATGATTTAAAGAAATGACTAATTAAAAAATAAGCCCTAACTCTTTCCATTCTGTTTTTTTAAAGCTTATCTTTTAGAACTTTGGTCATCTAAGAAGGCTTGTTTCATTACCTCCTTAATGTTGAGAAAACTCTAAATAATGTCACAGACACTGCATCAGACCGACGACACCAAAGGAAAATTCTGCATATTTGCACCATCTATATTTAATGCTCTGAGCTTCCATATCAATGCATTTTTTGCACCATGTTTTTTTCTCCCACACTGTTTACATTTGATCACTGCTGCACTTTATGGAATGGAAATGTCCTGAAAGCTGTACAAAATGAAACTTTGTTTTGTATAAACTCTGTCTAAGTCTAAAGTCTGAGTGTAAACTGCAAGCAAGCTGTAATTTTTTTGTCTTTGTGTCTTTGGTACCTTCCAGACTTCAGTGACCAGCTCTTGGAAGTGGTTGGCCTGGAGGGGGCGATAGAAATGGGCCAGATCTACACCGGGCTGAAGAGCGCAGGACGCAGACTGGCTCAATGTGCCAACGTCACCATCAGGTCAGCGGCTTCTGCCATCTTTTCCCCAAAGCACAGCTGCGTTTGTTGCACCTCTCACCTTCTGTCCTTTTTTTTCACTGTGCTCTGTCTCTACGCTGTCTTTGTGTTCTAGTCTAATGACGCAGGACATAAAATGCAAAATGAATGAAAAATGGATTCCTTTTGAGAGGTTTTTGAGCATTCATGTCCAAACAATGACATCTTTCTTTCTGATAAATTATGCATCTTAGCTTTACGCTTTATGAAGAGAGCTGTGGGGACTTTGGGCTGACTCACAGGTTGAACCGTCTTCAGTTTGGAGTGACGACGTCTACAGTCAGATTCTACAAACAGAACGAACAGCTGGTTCTCAATGCAGCATTTTATTTTCCTAATTTTATCTTTTAAAAAAAATTAACGATTTTATAAAAATCTTTTTGTAATTTTTATTCTTTAGAATGAGTTTTACAAATGTCATTCTTTTCAATTTGTGATTAACAGATTATATTCTCTTCACTTCTGGGGGCGGGCTTTCCTCTGGATTGTTGAGTGAAGACGCATTT